CAGGTGCCTCGGTTTCACACATTTCGCTCGACCCACAAGGGGCGTCTCATACAATTTGTTGGCTATTTAACTATCTACACTATAAGCAAATCATAGTTATGTTAGTACCGTACAAATCTGTTTCGTATACTATTCAATTTATTTTAAATTGGGTAGTGTTGATTAATGCAGCTAAAATGAGAGCAAACATAAAAAACCTATGTAATGCTGAATAACGAAAATTTCTAGACAAGTTATTTGTAACACATTTGTCTTGAATATTAATTCTCAACTATGCATCGTCGTTGAGCTTATAAATAATAATGGACCATAACAAATTGGAGCTAATTAATAATATGTAATTAAAAAAATATTGCCATGCCTTACAACAACGAGGTAAAATTATCATTACCTCTTTATTATCAATCACAATACTTTTATTGCAAAAAAAAATATATAAACGAAAAAATTTCGTATTAAAATCTTGTATATATTTTACGAGCAATAGAAAAATTAATCACGATTAATGTTAAAATAAATATGAATTCGTCTATAGTCTATTTTTCGTCTAGTCTATGTCTCGTAATATAATTGTTATAATATTGTTTACTTAATCCAATGTGAATTAAATACAAATAAAAAAATATTGCAGAAAAACTACTTTGTTAATATAGAATTAACAAAACGGAGTCGAAGATATGTTTAAAATGGTCTCTTTTTTTATCTATACGTATGCTTTAAATCATATTAATTCTTGAAAAACTGTCACCTACGATATTCAGCCGACAAAATCCCGGCCAATATTTGTTTTACCCATTAAATCGACACTATTATCCAATCAATTTACAGGTAAGTGAATAGCGACTAGCTAGAGAATCGCTGAATAAAAATGTTTTTGACAATATCGCCAACAGAATGAGGCATGGCTGCATATCAACTTTAATACAAATCACACGTAACACAACTATGAATTCGCTCACAAATAACAACAATCGGACTTTCAACAATTTTACAACAACATAGCAATAAATAAAAAAAACATTGGCTATTACAAAACAATGGTAGTAATCAGTGAAAATACGTGGCAACCCTTTTCAAAGGTGAAACATTACGGTCGATGCCTACATGCTAAGAAAATTAATCACGTCGTATTATGCTTCCCGAGAATTGTTGCTAGATTCCTAAAATATCAAAAGTACCTTTTAAAAGTGGGTCTCCTTTACTCACTAATCATAAAGGTTGTTATGTATCCCTAAATGCATAATATAACGGTAATACACGTATGAAATACAAGCTAGTTATATTATACCATTTTATGTCAGCCTTTTCATTTGGTAATTTTTTCATCTTTCATAGAATATTTATAACTCAAATTATCTTCATGTTGACTATACTTAAGTGAGATACTGGAATTAATGAACGTCCTTCAAACGTCTTGACATGGCGTAAATAAGTGTGCCTGATAGCAATAATGGCGAATGTCTCAAACATTTAGATGTGTCAGAAGTAAAATGTATGTCGCTAATGAATTTTAATTATTCAATTTCTAATGCCTTCACCATTATTGAAGCTATACTTCTTTTGGCGCGTTTGTAAAAAACTATGAGAGCAAAATTTTTATGATGCGCGCGCACACCTATCCCCGAAAAACGACATGTTGCAAACTTCGCGGTATCACCATGGCAACCAAAACAACTATTTGACATTTACCTACAATTCTGTAATTATAACCCTAATCAATTGCAATTAATGTCTTTTTCACAAACATGGGTACACAGGGGCCAAAACTTTTAGTTATTTTTCTTTTGTTACGCTAAAGAAGTATAACCTCTCACGACATAAGTATAGATAAATTCTTTTTTTCTTTTTATCGTTTATAAATTTTTTTCAAGTTGCACATATTTAAATTAAAAAAATGGTATTAATCGATATTGTTGAATATTCAATCTCACGTCATTATTTAAGGCTGACATAATTATAAATACAAACAACATTATGAATAAGTGACAAAGCTGCGACCATATAAGTACACAGCGAGACAAAAGTAAGCTAATTATTTTTATAAAAATAACTCGTCATTGAGTATGCAAATACTTCTTTTAACTATTTCCAGTTTAATAAATAACCTAAAGAAAAGAACTTAAGAAGTTCATTTATGTATGACATTTATTAAAGGATTCGATTCTAATTTTCAAATTACGCAAAGTAGCTTTTAGCGTAGTTTAAAAAAAATATTTGCATGCCAACACTGAGAGCGCATCGTTATACGCTACCTTAATTAATACTTTTTTTATCGTATTATTTGTCATTTTTTAATTTTTTTTGTTGTATGGCACCACAGCCATCATTCCTAATGACAATCACACGTAATCACACTCGTGACTTATTGTGCATAAATAAATAATTTTAAAGGCCTTTAACTGTTTCAGAGGCAAGTGATCATTTGAACTGACCGATAGTGAGGCTTTCTTGAATCTATTACGTTTAAAAGCTTTTTTAGTTTTACCTAAAATTAAAATTTAAAGGCCTATGATACTTAATACACTAATATGATCTTCCTCCCGTCTTCAAACTTCGAACCATGTAGGCAGAATTAGTAAATTGACTTTAGATCGCCATTTCAAGTCCCAAATTTGGCGGGAACACTTTAACACAAAATGATTAAGAAACCCAGTTAATCATAAAAGTGTTACACGGTGATGCTTAGCATTTTATTACATTTTATTTAAATTAGGAATGTTGATATTCAAGGTTTAGTTTGAACGCGATAGAGATTGTAATCAAAAACTAAAATGGTTCTCCATTTTAGTTTTTGATTATATAAGAAAAATCGTTTATAAAAAAAATCTCGCCTCGAAAACAGTTAATACATGTAACGGAACATTGGAGCTTATTTAAGAAATGAAAACACTATACGTATATTCTTACAATGACTGCAAAACAATTGTTTACCTTACATCACAACCACCTTCCGTCTGCCTATATTTTAAGCTCATTAGTTATCGAAATTTAGTTTTCCAAAATTGAATAACAGGGTCCGAATTTCCTTTACAAACGTTGGCACTATAGCTAAACACAAGTTCGGAGAAAAAAAATTACCTTTTTAATTACAATACATATATGGTTAACTTTACTGTGCATTATGGCATTATGGGAGGTAAACGTTGAAAAATTGATCTAGAAAATTGGTTTCTATCAAATATTCTCTAATAATAATATGCGAGTAATCGCCCTTATCTGGAAACACGGATCGGCTATAACAATAATATAATATTTTACAGGTAATACTACAATGCACAGATTATAGTAACAGATTAAAAACGCTAATAAGATGTTCAAAATTTTCCCATTAGGATATAAGACAAACAGTTTTATTATTTAACTGATGACATAAATTACGAAAATGATAAAACCTCACCAAAAATTATATTATAAATTTATGTAAAAAAAAATGATAAACAATAGATATTGAACATATTTTCATACATATTGTTAAAATTTGTTAATTATTCGAAAATTTGCAGTTATAGACGAAAGAAAGCAACATTCGATGAACCGAAGTTGAACATTTGTGACAGTTTCCTAGCATTTAAAAATGACATAACGTTATTCACACCGGCATGAATACCGACAAACAAACATTCCTTTCAACAGCCATACGTAGCCTATATCGAAAATATCTCTAAATTCAAGCATTTCAAAAGCTTTACCTTTCTTATATCAACCTTATTTTATCTACGTATTTCAAAATCGAGCGCACGCAGTGATTTTAGTAGTGTAAAAAAATAAATAAGTAGTCGAAACTTTTTTTTAATTTTTTCGAAACCTAACATCGAACGGCCTTGAGTTTTAATTAAAAAGAGGCGAAAATCGTAAGAAAAATTCACATTACCACAAACAATTCTCATTCTTGGACGTTTAAATAAATAATAACGTCACAATTAAGCACTGACAGAATTAAAGACCACACAGACATGATATGTGTTTTTCTATGTGAAGTTAATATGATGTTTTATTGCATATTATGTAATGTAATTTGGCTGTATTTGAACAATCACAATCATTTGCTAAAAGTTTGCTACAAATAGTTAAAGAAAAAAAGCCTTTCCCGTAATTTTAATTGAGATTAATTTAAAAATTAGGTATTCTTTACTGTATGGTACTTGTTATCAATATTTAAATAATTGAATGCAATAGTCCATATTGACGATTGTCTATGAAGTCTTTAATTTTTCAGAAAAACATTAACCTTAAACAACATTCATTAAAAACATTCATGGCATTATTGTGGTGCTACTATAAGACAAAAATATTTTTTGCACGTATTTTTTTTATTCGATCACAATAATCAAACACGACTCTCCCAATTCGAAAATGATTTTAGAAAAAATACATTGATCTATGATTTTCATAGTTTTCCTCTCGAAACCTTCAAAAATATTTACAACAGTCTCTATTTCTATTTACCATGATTAATTTCATTTTACTTTAAACATTTCACAGACATTACAAATGTAAAACTTAAAATAAGACATTTGACTAATTAGCACTACAGATCCTTTCCACTCGTCCCGAAACGTAGGATGATTTTTGAACATAAACCTTTTTTTATTTTATTTCGTTCGTCCATTGCTAAGAAATTAAATATATAACCTATTTAACACACCATCTTGAGATCCGTCACTCACTATGTAACATTTTTTTTTTCAGAGTGTTTCTTTTTTGTCACAGTTTTTATCACATTTTTAATAAATACTGTTTCCTCTTAGGTGCATTGTAGATATGTAAAGTCACATTGCCAGAATTTTTATTTGTTGTGTGACAATTTTCTTTTTGCTGCCGAGTCTGTGTTGCCACACTAGTGGAGATTTTGTTTTAACATTGATACTGACAATTCGGCGTTCAAGACGTGTACTTTCCTTTGCTTGGAGAAACCTGTTTAGAAAGAATATTAATGTTATTTTGAAACTCCGCTAAATACATTGAATGAAAGAATCAATATGGCTCACCTGGCTATGTCACGCGATCGAATTGACCGCGTAGTGTGGGCGGGTACCCTCTGGCTGATACAGAGTTATCGACGCTATGTAGTTGTTCGACATTACCTGAAATTTGATATAGTACATTAATATGTAAACATTCAAAACACCGTACCGATTAATTTGTGTTTAATTTTAATTTAAATATCCGGCGTTTTGACTCTGTAAGTCGTAATATTGAAGTATTCAACGTATTTAAAGGAATTTGTGAAGCAAACCTTGTAAGGTAAATCTCGCCTCGAATGTCATGTCCTAGTAACCATTTTACCGTCGAATATATTAAGAAAGTACGTCCGAAAGAGATGTCTTGATTGACTTGGAAAAATAGCAAATCTAAAAACTATTATGGACTGTATTATTACGCTATCAGCGGTGAAGGAAGACATCGTGAGGAAACCTGCATATTTTCGAAATAATAACAAAAAAAAATATTTCGACGATACGTAAGTCCGCCTATGGTCTACGCCTTGATACTCGTATTCTGTACAGAGGAGGCCTTTGCCCAGCAGTGGACCATTTATAGGCTGTTACTTTACTTTTACTTTTTTTATTATGGACTAGAGTCATTTCCAAATGTGGTCCTGGTAGCCGTAGCACAATGTATTGTTGATAAAAATTAATGTATGGTGATAAAAATTCCGAAACAAACTCAAAGGTCAAGCCAAATTCATAGTCTTAATACAACTAGCAATCAGAAAGTACTGTAGGCTCACCACGAATATGAAATATCGGTATCTTTAACAGAGGACAGAAGAAATTGATTGCTGAAACTTTTATAGCACGAGGCCCGCCTCGAATATTACGTCCTAATATCAATAACAGAGGATAGGGATTGTTGGTGAAAATTTTAAAGAACGAGGGCACTCGAATATGATATAGTAGTTTTTTGACAGTCAATAAGCGAGTGCAAAGTTTCTATATTGAATAAAGATATTTGAATTTGATAGCCAGGGAGAGAGGGGAATTGCTGAAACCTTTATAGAGACCCACCTCGAATATGATGTCCTAGTAACATTAACAGAGGATGGAACGGATTGGATAGGGATTACTGGTATTTTATAGAACCAGATGGCACTTGAAATTGACGCCCAGATATTATAGAAGAGATTAGATTACAGAAAGTTATAGAACGAGGCCGACCTCCAAAATGATGTCCTGGTATCCATTAACAGAAGATAGAAGATTTATTCGATTGCTGAAACATTTATAGAATGGGGCTGACTTCAATTATTATATCCTGGTATAATAAAAAGCTATTAGATACGAGGGCACTCAAATATGATGTCCTAGTATTAAAGAAGGGATTAGAATATTGAAATTTTTACAGAACAACGCCCACCTCCAATATGATGTCCTGATATCAATAACAGAAGATAGAAGAGATTGGATTGCTAAAAGTAATAGAACGAGACCTCTCGAATATGATGTCCAACATTTATAGAATTAGGCTCACCTCAATTATGATATCCTGGTATGACCACTGAATTGATATCATTAGAAGGGAATTAGACTGCTGAAAGTTTAATAGAACGATACCACTCGAATATGATGTCCAGGTATTACAGAAGAGATTAGAGATTGCTGGAACTTTTAAGAACGAGGCCCACCTCGAATATGATGTCCTGGTAGCCGTAGCAGAAGGTGGAGCCGAACGGGTTGGTGGTGTTGGTGGAGGAGGCGCGGTTGAGCACCACCGGCCGCTCGCACACGCGCAGCGCCCGCGACACCACCTCCCACTTGCTGTAGGCGGTGATGGTCACCGCGCCGCGGCTCTCCACCAGCGCGTTAGACTCGCATCTGCGCGGGTGACCATTTTATTTAAGAATTCATACATTCGATTAGAAAAAAAAACAGATAACAGGACCGCAGTTTCTTGCTGGTTCTTCTCTGGTTCGGCGATAGATTTTCACGGTGATAGAGCCACGCAGCAGCCTCGGCTGTTGCACGAATGGTCAGGCTCGTCCGGGTAACACCTTCCACAAAGTGGAAGTATGACAAATACTTTCGCGTTTCGTCTGGTGAGTGAGGTAGCCGGAGCCCAATTTCCAAAAAGGTTGTCAACGCATCTGCAAACCCTCGGGTGTAGCAGATGTCCATGGGCGGCGGTATTCACTTAATTTTACGCTAATGTGTGTCTAAATAATGTTCATTAAAATAGAATTACTATCCGGACGAGGTCTTTTGCAGTTTGGATAAAAATGCCGACATAACCCCCCCTTTCCAGTTTTGAGCATACTGACTTGTCCGGCTGCACGGTCAGCTCGAATTCGCAGCGATGGTACATGTTGAAGTTGTAGTGGCCAGGGTAGTTCGTGTGTAGCACAAACTTCTTCACCTGGTGCGTGCGCGCATCGAACAGAATGTCCTGAGGGGGAGCAACAGAAGATAATATCATCCGATGAAAAATGTTATAGACTTTCAGGATTCTTTAAATCTAATATGAGTGACAAATAGACATCCGTAGCTTTTATATTGATTGGCTTAAGTTTGGTGTATTTTACAAGCATACAGGTGTCATTAAATCAAATATAAGTAACGAATAAACATCCATCCGTAAAATTTTTCTATAATCTTAGTTCGTTATGAAAACAGTCGGGGACTATAGTTTCCGTGACCCCTCATCAGAGCTGATACGACTAACCTTGGGTTTTTGTCGGCTCAAGTCCGTTATAATCTAACTATACATTCTTGGAGACAGGTATCCTGCTATAATGAATTTTGTAACGAGAATTTTGTAACCCGATGAAGGCTATAACAAAACATGATTTCGATCTTTTCACTCAAACTCTTCATGTTTTCTTCTTAAGAAGTTATTCACTAATTATTCTTTGCTTTGTTTATAAACCAACATCACACCGTAGTATGCAGCAGATGTCAGCAGCTCTGATCATGACCCAAGCTTTCGACCCTCTTCAAAGATTTTAATCTCTATATAGAATCTAGCAAGGCGCGTTTGCGTTAGTGTATACAGAGCGACGGAAGAAGCTTGCAGCGTAGAGCTTGTGAGTTGAGATCTACCCAGTAAGAGACGTGATGACTCCTGGGCGCAGTTGCCAAAGTATTGGCTTCCGCGCTGGGGCTCGAGGAGTTGATTCCCACACGGGACAACTATTTGTTTCACCGACAAATTACTGATTCGTATCTGGGTGTTTGTTAACGTGAAATCTATGTATGTGAAACGTCCTATCGGATAACATTATCCAGTGCTGTACACAGGATGAAAGAATAGAAAAGATTAGATTAAAGAAACGCCGGTAAATCACTTTCCGCAGGTAATGCAACGGCTCGTAAGGAAAACGTTAACATACGAACCGGGCGTACACGCCTTTTATCTAACAAGTCGTTATGAAAGTTACGAAGCTATGTACCTAACGGCCGTTCGTTGAATATAGGAACCGGGCATAAGGGGGCAATGTTTTCGAAGACTGCAATAGATCTTTCTAGATCGCAGCGTTGGGACTCACTACCCGACCCCTTCCATACAAAATACAAGGGAAGATGTAGTCGGTCACTGTCACTCACCAGGCCAAGGGTAAAGTAGTTGAAGAAGTAGTCGGATGCGGGGGGCGGGCGGCGACGCGCGGTCGGTCTGTGGATGCGCATCTTGTCGTCCGCCTTGTAGTAGAGGCGGGCGGGCGCTGCCAGGGCCCGTGCCACCGCTTGGCAGCTGTCGCCGAAGCGGACCACTCGCCGCGTGGCGAGGCTGCCGTCGCTGGTGCGGGACGAGCCTGTCGCGTTAACCCAAACGCCGCTAAGTCATTTCAACTGAACGCTATATATATGGAGGGTAGAGGGTGAAGGAGAATCGTCTCAGTGTATTAAAGTGTCCATCAAAACGCGTTCAATCAGGGTGGCGCTGCGTTAGCATAGTAGAAATTTTTAAACGCGCACGAAGCAATTAGAATGAGAATTTCAACTTGGTTTTGGGGCACTTTTCAAAGAAAATTGATGATTATTAATGTGATTACTTATCTGGACATGAAAAGTTTTAAATATTTGAACAACATCTAAGTTCGTATCGTAATTTATCGTACGCCAGTGCCATTCTGGTAGGTACTCGTAACTTTTATTTTCAGCATAGAACTGGACACTTTCTCTACTTTCCCTCCATATAAGACGGTGCCCCTTTACCTCTAACCTCCGTAGCCGTGGCGATGCGACAAATTATGGAGTGTCAAACAAAACAAAAGGGTTAGAAGTAACTTTCAAGCCTGGTCCGTTCAAACTCCGATTAACAATTCATTAATATATCGGAAACTTATTAGCGAATAGTTTATTTCCGTGTAAATTATAGCAAATAGGTAGCCGTTCATGGGTGTATTAGAATGGTGAAAATCAATAGGAAAGAATACATGCATTTTTTTATATTTGATTTAACATTAAACGGATAATTTTACACTCGTCGGTACTAGTGTAAAACTAGTTAGGCATTTGAGTTGAATTAGAATTAACTCTTTGGTAATAAAAATAAAGAGCATAAAGTACCAGGCATGCATAACAAAGGGCTGAAGGGGAAGAGAAATGAGAAATGATATAATAAATACTTTTGATGAAATATGTAACATATGAAAGTATATATAAAATTAATGATATGACCATAATATACAAAAATTAAACAACGGGCAGAAATCAGGAGATAATAACCAGAAAGTGGGGTAATATGTAAAACATTAACATAAAATTTATAAAAAAATCAACGTCCCAGGCAGGCATAAACGGAAGTAGTTAATATACTCACCCTATGCACCGAGGGAATAAATAATATGTGAAATTATGAAGGAATTCCATAACAGCGAAAGGCAAAGTACCAGGCAAGCATAGAGTCGTTGTTACCTTCGGTGTACATGTGGAGCCTCAGGCCCAGAGTGGCGGAGGGCGAACGTAGCACGTCGCAGCGGCGCAAATGAAGCTGCTGACGGTAGCAGGACAGCGGAAGCTCGGGGAGGGGGGCGGCGCATCGACCGCTTCCGCTGCTGCTACTACTCATCTGCCGATTCGAAGATGGTACTATTTGTTGGACGAGGTACGAAGGACGAAGTAACAACACAAATTTTTGTTTTTTAAAGTTTTTTATATTAAACGGATTGCTAATCTCTGCACTTAAGATTAAACATTAAAACTTGTAGAAAAAGTACGAAAAGACGTTCTTTTCGCTTGTAGGTAAATATACATTATAGATACACCTAGTCATTATAAGAGAAAAGTACTAGAAAAACAATATGTTTCTCTGCACTTAAGATTAAACATTAAAACTTGTAGAAAAAGTACGAAAAGACGTTCTTTTCGCTTGTAGGTAAATATACATTATAGATACACCTAGTCATTATAAGAGAAAAGTACTAGAAAAACAATATGTTTCTCTGCACTTAAGATTAAACATTAAAACTTGTAGAAAAAGTACGAAAAGACGTTCTTTTGGCTTGTAGGTAAATATACATTATAGATACACCCAGTCATTATAAGAGAAAAGTACGAGAAAAACAATAACTTCATATTTTTCCAAGTGTGCTCAGCGAACACACACCCACTGGCGTAAGAGATTGACTCACTATCGACTGCGTCAATCTAGTCCTTAACGAAAAGTCTAGATTACGGCCTAGTTCTAGGTTCTCACCTGATGTTGCGATCCATAGTAGATAGTGGTCCTGGAGACGACAGGGGACCCGCCGTTGGGGAACTGCAGCGAGCCCAAGCCGTGCGCGTAACCGGGCTGCGGAACACAAGGAGGCACGATTCAATGGCAGAACCTCAAGTAATCCTTACTAATCCTTACTTCCTTGCTAATATTATAAAGGCGAAAGTTTGTTTGTATATATGGATGGATGTATGTTACTCTTTCAAACAAAAACTACTGAATTGATTTTAATGAAACTTTACAATAATATAGCTTATAAATCAGAATAACACATAGGCCATAACATATAAAGATATTGTGAGAATTGTCCAAAGCATAGGTGATACCTATGAAAACAAACAATGATAAGTGTCAACTACTTAGGAAAAAATTCAGCCATCTGCGAGATATTCTGGTGGAGAATAAAAAACTCATTGTTAATTCCCTTTTGCCGCGCGGTTAAAACCGCGGATAACAACTAGTATTTTTATATTATTGATCAAACAAGCTAATTCTATACGTAACAAACATTTATGCAAATATACAGTTTCATTAATTCACTTCACTTATTAGCGCTCGAAACGTGACAGGTGAAAAGCTACCATCAAACCGGAATGAGATTTCAACTATCTAGGTGGTGTGGACGGTACAGTGCATAATGCACAAATGTTAATATGCAACTTAAACATTTACAACTCGCCTTAACAACTCCTAAAGACATATCAATCGACATATCCAAATACACACACACACACACACACACATTTCAGCGACCCAAAGAGAATCTTGGCCTCCGACACGAAAAGACGCCAATGCTCTCTATTCTGGGCTGTTTCTTGCCACTTGGCTGATTGGAGAGCTCTCAGATCTTTCTGGACTTCATCTTTCCAGTGATATCTGGGGAGACCATAAGGATTCTTTGGTTGCCCCTTATATGCTCTTTTCACGGCACGATTCTCTCAAATCCAAATACTAATTAAAAATTTCTCGGGACAAACTCTTAAACAAATAGTAACTGATCTTTTGTCATCAGATCGTAAGCCGTCATAACAGTCACTAGATCACCTTACAATAAGAGAAAAAGAAAATGTGTCACAATCACTGTGGGCAACACAAAATTTAAATGTGCCTCCGAATTTCGTGCAAGTCTTTGACTGTACTCCACATTTCGAAGCGGGGACGCGCAGGCTGCGGGTGATAGAGTATTGCTCTCTTATTAGCGTCGAATATATGTCTCGCTCCCACCACACGTAGGCGTGCAGTCGGGAACAAAGTTCTTATTCTATCTCGCGAAAGAAGACTGTTTGAACTCGATTTTTCCACTCGACGGACGCGCACTGTACGAGCCGATTCGATTTAGGTTCCGAGTTTTGCGTGCCCCGTTCGTACGAACTCACCTCGAATTTGCTATCGACCGGGAAGTAGAAGGAGAGCCCGCGGAAGTTCAGGGCGAACAAGTGCCGCTGGGAGTCGTATAGGCCCGGATGGGTGGCGCCGAAGCAGTGCTCCACCTGCTCTATCGAAGGCGTGATCTCCGGCGAGTTGAAGCACATGCCACTGCGAAACGCAAATTGTGTTAAGCGAGAACTGACAACATTATTGTACTTTTTGAAGTTAGGATACTTCTTTAGGCGCGTTATAAAAAAATGCACGGGCCTCATTGTAACGCAAAAGTAACACCTTTGAAGCTGCCCGCTAAACCGCTTATTATAGATGGCAGCATATTCTCAGTCACATCCGTTACTGTTCTCAATAAAGAATGTAGATGGCGCTTTCATAATTTTATTGTTTTTATTACTTATATCCTTTTCCAGTCTTTTTATCATTTTATTGTAATTAATAATTTGCTGAACATAGGCCTCCCCCATAGACTGCCATGAAGTACAATCCTAATCTATGGGGGAGGCCTATGTTCAGCAGTGGACTCAAACAGGCTTAATGAATAATTTGCTTGCAATTAAAAACTATTTTTCAATGATGCCAAAGAAGTATAACTTCTCACACGCGTACATAAGTACACGCGCCCATTTTTTTATGTGAGAAGGTGACAAACCAGCGGGCGGTTCACCTGATGTTCAATGATAACCCCCATCCATTGACATATGCGACACCGAAGGGTTGCAGATGCGTGGCCACCTTTTAGTAAAGTGGGCCTCAGCTACGTCACTCACCAGACGAAACGCAGAAGTGTGACTTCTACTCTTCACGCCGATCTTCTATGAGGTCGAGGAAGTTACCCGGACCTATAGCCGTGGTAGGGACCACACATGTATACGGTATTCTACTAACTGTTGCCCGCGACATGGTACTTATACTAAATAAAATAAGTAATATAAATAAGTATGAATAGATAGTAACCAATATGACGACTCCGTGGCGCAGTAGCCAAAGTATTGACTCCAAGTATTGGTCGGGGGAACGTTAAAAACTAAAAACTGCCAGAGAAGAACCAGCAATAAACTCTGCGCTCTTAACTTTGTTTTTTTTCTTTTTTGATGACTCCGTTGCGTTGTTGCCAAGGTATTGGCTGCGGCGTCGGGGGTCGTGGGTTCGGTTCACACACGGGACAACTATTTGTGCGATCCACAGATTGTTTCGCATCTGGGTGTTTGTCCGCGTGAAATTTATGTGTTGTAAAACGTCCTTACAACACAGGATAATGCTATCTTAAAGTGAGAGCAATATTTAAAAAAAAGAGAAAATCGGGGGCCCGTCACACGTGACAAAGTATTGTTGTGACCGTCAGTAAATTATACTAGATTAATAAAATCAATACATATACGCATTGCGCATAGTAAAATTATAAGGTCCTAAACGCCTTATATAAAAATTAAAATATCTAAATTTTTAAAATGCAGCACGTCCCAATCCCCTCCCTGTTTTGTTACAATTACTACGAATAAATGTAAATCGGTTATCTATGTTTATGTGTTTTGATTCTACATCAATCAAAGGAACTGAAACTCGTATCCGTCACTGAGTCTTATTTATGTTACGAGCGTAATTACCTAATTACTGTAGCACTTAAAGTAAGTAATTCGATAAAAGACTAACCACATATTTTAGGTAGTTAATTATAAATATTTATATTTATGGACAGTTTAAATTTTACACAGCATGAAAATGTCGTAATTGTATATGGAATATAATGTTTGCGTTTAGTTTCTCTTTATTGGCGTACTTAACGTAGTTAATTATTATAAGTAATTATAACTTGATCAAAGAAATATTTCACTCCCGATGTGTCATTTTTATATTATTTTCTTTAGTCATACTGGATATATGCAACATTGACCCGGTAGCCGTAGGGTCACCAGAGATCACTAACATTCCTCGCTGTTTAATATTCAACTTAATTAATGGTAACTGAATTTAATGGTATCCTACACGCTGACCAACTTCGACTGGTATCACCGCTAACCTCGACGCTAAAGCTAGAAGGAATGTATCGAATACTACAGGAAGGTAAACGTAGCAACGGTTATTATTCGGAGCTGTGTTTCTCTGAATAGTACATAACGGAGAGCAGGCACCGTCTAATTATATATATTATATACGCAATATTTTATAGGACTAAATTATGTTTGAACGTAATGCTTTTTGGTTCCTTGTTATCTTCGCTGGTCTAAATTTCCACACCGGCGGATTTCGATGTTCTTAAGTGTTTGTGAGGAACTATAATATAATAAAATATTTTGATTCACCCTCAGCGTATCAGAGTATACTTCGTTGTTAAGCGCACGCATGAGCACATGCGCGGCCCTACCCACAGCGGAGGGCCCAAACCCGTGGGTTCTGGCTAGCTCACCGGTTCTGCGTCAGATGAAGTTTTAATAGTCTCGGGACTGAAAGCACGAACATAAGTTATAAAAATAAAAAATAAATAAAAAGAGTTTACCCAAGTTGTTCTTATCGCAAGAAATTAATGCTGTCAATTTAAGAAATCCAAACGATCACAATTTTTGTGTACTAGCCTTGTTGTGTTGATAACTCAATGAATAACCCTACAATACCTATTCCTAGCGACCGCCATTAAAATGTCATTAGGTCAGCAAAGAGACGTGTACGAGGTCCGATCGATTCTTTTCCATGGACATTTAATTACACTGATAGACTCTTAATGTTTCCTGTTCGGTCGCCATTTAATGGCGTAAGCTTCCGCCATCTTTGATATTGTTGTGACTACTTTATGGAGTTTGAACATGACACATCTCATTGTATCACAATTAAATAAGTGTCATATGATGAGATGTGTCAGATGTTCAAGGCAAGAGTGAATAGGTTTTGACTGAGCTAGCGCGCTTACCATCAGGTGGGATTGCAGTCAAGTGCTGGCCAGTACAAAATTAAAAAAGATGTGTATGATATGTATCACACCATTAATACAATTAAGTGTAAATAATTTCAAACATTTTTTAAAAGCTACCTTAATGAAAAGGGCCTATTATAATGTCGAGGAATACATTGAGGACAAGGATGTGTGGAAATGACTCTTGCTCTGCACTTGCAATTCATTATGCACTTTCATGATTCAAAAAAGATAAGACCGCAGAGTTTCTTGCCGGTTCTTCCCTGGCAGTTTAGCCTATATTGAATAAAGAAATTTTGATTTTGACTTTGACATCGACATCCACGCTGCCAGCTTCACCTGTTTTATAGACGGGAACAATTCAAATTGTCACTGTCCAACATTAGATCGCCGTAGAGAGAAATTGTTTACTCTTTCGCGTTCCGTAGATTCATTGAGATAAACTAATTTATAGGTGGTTGCCAAACAAAACACGGTTGTTTGGTTACGGATGTTGGCACGACTGTGTGGCTATGGTAATCATATAGCATCAGATGAACCGATCGCCCACTTGCCATCGCATTACAATGAAGCTATAGGAACTTATTCGACGTTGACGCTACCTTTATGTAACATTCTAAAAGACTATGATAGATCGATTAAGAACTTGGTATAATCTTTGTCTTAAGAAATATGTGCGCTTTTTTTATGATTTGTAAAATGCGAAGACTTAACACTATTTTTAGATAAAACGTCTAACGTAGAAAACTGATATCGTACGAGTAAATTATTAAACACGATAAAACGCGTAACAGTTTTATTTTCATCCTCATCGATTTATTTCTTTTCATTTAACAGTTATAGTAACTATGTTAAGGCAAGATGAATATGAGCGATCCCTCATGGTGGTAGGGTCACGCAGCAGCCTCGGCTGTTGCACGAATGGGCAGGCTCGTCCGGGTAAGTACCACGACGTCACAGAAGACCGGTCTAAAGTGCAAGTATAATACTTTCGCGTTTCGTCTGGTGAGTGAGGTGGCCGGAGCCCAATTTTCAAAAGGTTGTCAACGCAACTGGATCCCTCGGGTGTAAGTACCAGATGTTCATGGGTGGCGGTAATCACTTAACATCAGGTGTACTGCCTGCACGCTTGCAACCTCGTCACTAAAAAAAAAAGGCCATATACGAGTCGGACTTGCACTTATAAAAACAGCAAAAAATTATGTCTAGTATCTTTTTAGTATTTGTTGTTATAGCGGCAACAAAAATACATAATCTGTGACAATTTCAACTGTCTGACTATTACGGTTCATGAGATACACCCTGTTGACAGATGCACAGGCAGACAGACAGGGTACGGAACCCTAAAAATACAGTTTTTTTTCTGTTAATAAAAACTGCCCTTCGTTGATAGATTATATATATTTCGAGTTATTGTTGAGATAACAGCTGATAGCGACAGATTACCGCAATGTAATAAAACAAACGCTCTATATATCTGATAACATTTTTTTATATAATAATGAGATTATATTCTAAAACAGATTTTACGCAACACCACGCAAAGTCTTCACTGTTGCATAAATGGGCAGGTTCGTCCGGGGAAGTACCTGACAGAAGTGAAGTGGAAAATTTACACTTCTACGTTTAGTCTGGTGAGTGAGGTAACCGGGGCGCACTTTATTAAAATGTGGCAACGCATCTGCAACCCTACGGTGTTGCAAATGTCCATGGGCGGCGGTTATCATTTAACACCAGTAACCGCCAGCTTGCTTGTCACCTTCTAACATAAAAAACAACCGTACAAACTGTTGCAAAATAAAAATATAATTTATTGTATATTAATTTCGTCTGTTTTATCAGTTCTCGCTTATTAATAAGGAAGACTCTGTGAATACACTTTAAACTAAACTATAAAAAACATCTTCAGTTTCGTACAAGCAGAATGAATTTATTTTTGCATCTCACATTTGTGTTTTATTAAATTGAAATGCACATACACAATACGACAATAAACAATTCATTGCAATGAAAAAATAACAGATAAAACATAACAGATACCGTTTCGTATCTATCGTTTCCTTTACGGCGTGTTCGTGCCGTATATCTGTTGTTGATATTCTATTTTATGCGTAGTATTTGTCTATTAAAATAGTAGTATAAATATATGCATCAGATACGCGAACAACTTGACAAGTCATCGGGTCCGTAACTTGAAGTGTCAATACGATAAATCGTTAACTGTGGTAGGGCCACGGTAGGGCGTGAAGTAGAAGTGTGGGACTTCTACGTTTTGTCTGGTGAGTGAGGTAGCCGGGGCCAACTTTATTAACAGGTGGCAACGCATCTGCAACCCGACGTGTGTTGGAAATGTCCATGGGCAGGCAGTTATCACTTAACATCAGGTGAACCGCCACCTCATTTGCCACTTTCTTACATGAAACTAAACAAATAAGTTTTTTGTAATGAATCCCAACATGTTGGAGGCATCCATCAAGTTGGAGGAAAAATCTGAAAGTTTAACATAACATTGTGATCTTAACGTTTAACAAGACATTGTGTACTCACCTATACCTAAGCTTAACTAATTTCATATTGTACACTTCTATTATTTTGAGCCGTTGAGCGACCGGGTCGAATATTAACCGGATGCCGTCCTGGGGCATATTTATTACTAAGTCCACCGACAGCGGGCTCTGAAACAGACAAAGCTTTTTTTTAAACATTTAACAAAGTTTTATTTTTTATTTTAACATTTTAACAATAGTTTAAGCGTGATTGTACAGGCTCCGGAAGTATCATGAAGTAGAAGATTATATTCTGTTGCTTTTCGTATTGTGAGTGAGGTAGCCGGATGAGCCCATTCTTTTAAAGGTTAGCGATGCATCATCCCACTGATATTAAAGATGTCTAAAATTCCGGCATTAATTACTAAGCATTAGACTTTAACTTGCCACCTTCGCACATAAAATAAATTGATATAAAAAAAATATATCCGGTGGAATTGAGAAACCTCCTTTTTTTAAGTCGGTTAAAAATTGCTATTAAACGCAATCTTAAGGTCGTGAGCTTACGTGTCGTGAAAAGAAAGCCTGTTAAAGACATCTCGTCGTGACGATTACGCGACTGTGGTTGTGGAGTAAACGCGTTGTTATTCGCGAATTTTGCCGCGCAGTAAACTCCGCACGTGTTCAAATAAAATGTCTTTAATTACGCACTCGCTTTTACGGAATCGCATCATGAAAATTAAATAAATTGAAGTCGTTTCAAGACCAATCGGACGGATTATTATCTGAATATATATGTTGCGGATTATGTCGACGACATAAAGCGAAAGTTTAATTTTCTGTTGTAATTCCGTGACCCGCCTCTGTCCCATTTCCTGTACACGTTTAAATATAAAGCTTGCTTTTACTAAGAGAACGTGTCCTGTTAGGCGGTGGTAATCGCTTAACATAAGTCAGCTCTTGTAATCTCTTATGCCCGTTCCATATATTCAACGAACGGCCGTTAGTTACATAGCTTCGTAACTTTCATAACGACTTGTATATAAAAGGCGTGTATGCCCGGTTCGTATATTAACAAAACGAGCCGTTACATTACCTGCGGAAAGTGAGCGACTAGCGTTCCTTTATCTACAAGTCGTTATGAAAGTTACTAAGCTATGTAACTAACGGCCGTTCGTTGAATATAGGAACCGGGCATAAGTCAGCTCGTTTACTCGTTTAATAAAACACCCAAAGCTGGCTCTGAAGGGCCAAGATTCCACAATTATACGGGCACATTTACCTGATCGCTGTACAGGACCTGCACTCCACGTATCGTGCCCACTTGACTTTGTATGATGGCGACGGACTGAGAGAAATGCATTCCTGGAACAAAAGAAAACACGAATATTAACCAAAGTCCGGATTCCTCAATCAACTATTGTTTACAATTCCGTTTCTTAAAATAAAATAAAACAACATTTCGAACTATCCAGTAAAGACGTCCTATCTATACGAGAGACAAACATTAACTTAGAGATAGGTAATTAATGCAATATTTGGAAGATGTATTCATTGTGAATGATTTTTATTACGGTTACATATACAACATACGTTTGCTCATTGTCCGGGCGCTCACTTTTAATTGCATATACTCGAGCAACCCGAGTTCGATCCCGGTGACGGCACCAATGACATTGTTAATTTTAAGTGCTGAAATATCACGTGAGGAAATCGGCACGCAAAAATTTGCGTGATGCATAAAGTCGATTTTCTGTGTAGATTCGACACTGCGTCCGTGTTTTCGTGTCCGCGCCGGAGCGTATTTATTCAAAAGCAAACAAACCGGACTGTTAACCCTTAATACAGATAGTTTTTCACCGCTTCGGGGACTGCACTGCTTGATATACTTTTCATTACCATAGGCGTGGTACGTTTCATTGACAGCAAAAATACGTTAGTATTAGAATTTTCCATTGCCCACTATAAAGGAGAATGCAAAATCGTGATCTGTCTAGGAGGTCGCGATCGCAATGATATGTACACTATCGACCGTGACTTATGTAAAGTAGGGAATTTAAAAATTAAATTTTACGCATTGCAATTGAAATGTAGGTTTACTTAACAGCTAGCTTATGGGCGCTACTCCGTTTAGAATGTCCCTCTAATGTAGGGAAAAAAAAAGGCATAGCTTTAGTAATTCATGACATATAAATGGCTTTATCTTTTTTTATATATATTTATATGCTCTGAATAGTGCAAGATATCGTAATAAAAATTTAACTATTGTAATGTACAAATCCACCATTTAGCCGTCTCAGAGTCTATACGAGTTGAACTTTGAGAATCTTCTTGAACAGGTTTTTTAATAGGTTTTATTACGCCGTGGAAAGAACCGCAGTCCTACCGAAAATCGGCGTAGATCAGAAGCTTCTGCCATCATTACCCTTAAGGTTTAGAAGCTTTAGTTGGGAGCAGAAGCTTTACATTGTGAGGTGGTATTAAGTAAATGGAAGCCTAATTAAAGCTCGAGGGAGGCGGAGATATACCGTGAGACCATTGACCGTTTAGCCATAATGAACCGGACTAGTTTTACGAGAAAGTTCTACTTGTGATCTTTCATCTAAATGCCAAGACTGAAAAAAATTTAGGGGTGTGAATTGTTACAATTCTTGGCATGAACTCATCAAGTATTACTACACCTTTCTGTAGCACATGAAACACGTACGCAATAAATCCTCAATGATGTACAAGTTCGTCCTCTGTTAGACAAGAATTGGGGCACACACAAAATTCGACCCGATACGGACGTTTGAGATTTAGCAAATTCATTATGTGATATGAAGTCATGAAGGTAATTTAAATTTTATAACGTTGTTAACTAAGGTGAAAAATAAAAAATTGTTGAAAAAAAATTGGACGAAGAGTTTTTCGTAGCTGCAGGAATCGTGATTCGTGACCGTCTTTCGGATTCGCGCCCAATGCTTAGAGTGCGAAAAGACAATGCAGATAAAATACGTTCAGATTTTCGTCGGTGTGGCAATCAGCCGTTTAGCTTAGTGGTTAGACGTGGGTACAATCCCCGAAGCAGTGAAAAACTATTCTTCAACTTTTTCTACAAATTTTAATCTTATATAGATAATTTTTATTTTTTCTTATAAAGTACTACTCCCGCTCAATTGTGAGTTTCTGTGCTGTTTGGAGATAATATAAACACGAAAATCGTTTACTTTTTACACTCGGACATGGAAGCACATTTGTTACAAAAATGAGGGCATCGAACCACTAACAGATACGAATACAACCTTAAGAGTTTAACTATCATTGCACCCACGTCAATTAACACTGAACCTCGCGAATGAATTCATCTAACGCCCGAAGTGGTGAGCTAATCGAGTTCGGTGAGCGCGGCCTCGTGGTATAATTTCTAACTCGAAATTCCCAAAAGGCCTCGCCACACGTCGAGAGACGATCGCGCAGCGGCGGCTGTCTCTACGCCGGGCGAATATCTAATTAACGTGGCGCAATTAAAGTACGCGGCGGGACTAAACGCGCGTCTCGAGGGACTCTCATCCCGGCACCGCAAATAATGGCACCGCACTTAATGGGACAATACGACTCGTTAACGCAGCAAGATTTCGCGGTGAAACGGATGATTATAACGTGTAAATTTTCCACTTAGTCGATGGGCCGTGCGTAACGCCCGGTTTCTGAAACACCGATCTGATCGTCGTACAAGTTAACTAATCAGCTTTCAAATGGCTTTTCAATTGTTGAGTTGCCAAAATGATGGTTAAACTCTCTGAATTGATCAGAATGATCTTCTTAATGATCTGAATGATCAATTCGAAGAGTTTAACCATGTTTTTGGCAACTTAAACGACATTTGAAAAGCCATTTGACAGCTGATAGGTAACTCCTACGATGATCAGTTTTAGAAACCAGGCGTTAGATTTGTACGGTAATTTATAACCATAATAGCTAGATACTAGCTGTTTATGCTTCGCCCTCGTAGTTCGTAGCGTGATGTCAAATATCCTATAACCCCCCTCAAGGATTGGGCTATCGAATGCAAAAACATTTTTTTTAAATCAGACTCCTAATTCCAGAGATTAGTACGTCCAAAGAAACAAACTTAAAAATTAGCTGATGTAATTTAAAGTATGCATTACAGACTTCCTAACGCATGCCTAGTACGATTGTGTCGTAGACTGATAATAGAAGAGATTAAAGGCAACGAGTTTTTTATTCATTTCCTAATACGTTCGTTACTGGAAAATTACAAAATTAAAAACAATTTATATTAATTGCATTCATATAAATGATGATAGAACACACTCAGATACATTGTTTTAGCTGTTTCTGGTGTACCGAACTTAGGAAACATTGATTATTTTTTATTTAGCGCCCCAAATATTATTTACTTTCAATCGCCCCCTAAATCTTCCACTCAGCTCCCACTGGGGTGCGGTACCGCCCACTTCGAGATCCATTGAGCAAGATGTTTAGTTGCCGAATGGAGTTTTGACTGAACTTGCGCATGTTTGAATCTAATGCTATTTATGTGGTAATCAATGTTTTAACAACGCCTTGTAGGGTGAAAATATGTGTAACATGTATTTATCTACAAGAGATACATTTAAGCATGTAAGAGCGGTGACCATGTCGGCTGCTTAGCTTAATGCGTGGAGCGTCTAGACGCGTAACCAGAAAGGAGCAGCTTTGAATTACGGCAGGGGCGAAATAGTTCTTTCGACAAATTATCTACACTTTTGAAGCCATCTATGATTAAAAATACGACAATATCGAAGGGTTCCTGTAGTTGGGCCAGCTTCTGCTACTGCGGGGAAATACCACGGCCACACAGATTGGCGTGCGGAGGCAGTATTACACTCTCGCGTATCCTGTTGTGAGTCAGGTAGCCAGGACCCACTTCCTTAACAGTTATCGACGTGTTCGCAATCCGTCGAGTCGCATGGGCGACGCCGATCGTCTTAACATCATGAAGCATTCCTTGCTTGCAAACTTTTCATACAAAAAGTGTCACCGGAGTCTCTTAACGTTGGCAACTGCTGGCAACGTGCTGCTCGCCCCGCCGAAGAGTTCAAAGATGTTTAATAATGTGACGCATGTCCACATTGCGCGGCGTTCAAAAACTGTTCCGCTTTACATTATATGACATACTAGCTGCTGCTCGCGACTACGTCTGCGTAGAATGCGCTGAAGGCGTAACATTCTGACAGAAAGACGGATATAAGATACAGAAGATATAAATAAAATATGTATATAAATTATAGCCTATGTCTTATTCTGATGTATAACCTAGATTATTGTAGTTTCATTAAAATCCATTCAGTAGTATATGCGTGAAAGAGTAACAAACATCCAGCCATACATACAAAGTTTCGCGTTTATAATATTAGTAAGGATTATTAAAGGAATATGACAGATGACATAGAACGTACGACATGGAAAGTGACTAGCAGACTATATAATATGTAATTGCAATCTAATTACACCCATTGGTGTAAATTGAGTGCCTCATTTTCGGCGCGTCAGTGTCACATATTCGTATACAATGTCATTGGAGGAATGGGCGTGGCGATAATATTCGACCACGCGACCCTCTACGGCCCGACAACAGCGAGACGATCCATATAACCGCGCGGCGAAAAAGGGAACGCGGGGCCTTAGGAATGCTAATGACAGAAGCGAACATATACGATACTATCTGTTAACCGCGGCTTTGCCCGCGCGGCCATAGGGAATTAACAATGAGTTTTTATTATACACCAGAATATCGCGCAGATGGCGGAATTTTTCCCTACTTAGTTGACACTTATCATTACCTATATTTTGGACAATTCACACAATATATTTATAAATTATAGCTTATGCGTTATTCTGATGTATAAGCTATATTATAGTAGTTTCATTAAAATCTGTTCAGTAGTTTTTGCGTGAAAGGGTAACCTACATCCATCCATACATACAAACTTTCGCGTTAATAATATTAGAAGGATAAAAGGACTAAGTAAGGAAGTAAGGATTCCGTATGACCGGCGCTTGCCGATGGATATGACGTACGCTATCTAGTAGCGGATTACTGTGCAACACGTCGCGCGCCCTAATTGGTCGTTTATTATTACTAGTGGACGCCGATTTGCCGAAATTCGACCATAATTAATTTAATTATAAGTTTGAACAATATTAGTCTATTCTCAAATAGGTACCTACAATACACAATGAACAAAAAGACCTGCCCATTTGTGCAATAGCCGTAGCTGTTGCGTGGCCCTACCACTGTTAAATTTTAGTAACGCAACGGCTACACCGCGGCTGTTTTGATTTTCGATTAACATCAGGGGATGGTCTGAACCTGTGAC